ATTTTATGGAATTAAATCCTCTGTTCCCAAATAGGGGCAGCGGGCAATTCAACAAAGATTTTCAGTAGTGCATTATGGAAGCAGAGAAGAAGGGACATCCAAGTGGTTAATTTGGCCAAATTGTTCAATATGTTTGGTGTCAGGTGCTCAGTTGCAGTCAGACTCCTGAAATTTACAGTTCATCCATATGAAGCATTTAGGAATTGGTTAAGAGCTCAGCTTGTTAAACATATTTTTTTGTCTATGGATTATTTTTTACTCTAAACCTGTTGGATCGTTGCATAAAGAAAGTAAGATTTTGCTTTAAGTAACGTGAACTCCATTCCTTCCACACCAATGTTGTGATGACTAAGACTTGCCACCTTTACTTAGTAATGTGGCCCACTCTTGAGACAAAAACTTCAATAGAAAAGATGAGGAAAACAATAAAAAACCAAAACTCATCAACACTCTTCAAATAAGTCGTCAATCTTTAATATGAATAAACAGAACAGTTCTCACAGTAATCAGATGGTTCTTGACTGTCGGGGCCTGATTAGCATTGCAAAGGATGGAGTAGAGAGAAGGGGTTTGTGCATGCAGGGAATAGAGTTCAGAGAGTCTGAGGAGAGGAAAGGATTATGCTTAATAATGGATATATTTTTGAACCCCTTAGGAATGTTTTGTTGCCTTGTGACTGCAGAGCACTGTGAGATTTTGCTGTACTGTGTTTCCCTAGGGTCTTATCATTAGATGGTTACCTAATTAGCACACAGCATATTCTTGCCTATGTTCTATTTGCACTGCAGATGCTTTCATTTCATACATCATTCACAACCTGCAGCAATTACAAAGTGGTAAATGACCTTATGCGATAATTACACTAATAGATCTGTATTGTTTCATTTGGAGAAGACTGTGTGGAGAAATGAGGTGTCTGACATGTACAGAGAGTGGTTGCAATTATGTTCTTTCTTTAAATCGGAACATAAAGCAAGCAAAAAGATAACTTTTGATCATAAAAGTTGCATCATATACCCAATCTGATGAAATCCTTAAAATGAATATGAACTTGCTGCCAGTATCTCAAAGTTGTACTTTTATTTTGATTTATCAACTAGAACTGATATTTTAATAAGTCAGTAGTATCCTGGACTATTAAAATCCAGAAAAGAGAGAACGATTATTTTCCCCTAAACTTCTCAAATACCAGTCTTGCACTAATAGTTGTAAAAATCCAAGAATAAGCTATGATCCTAATCTTTAAAGTGGTTGCAATGCAAACCAGTAGCAATTTTCAAAGGAAATGTACACTCGTAAGAGATGAATGCCAGTGTAGAAGAAAACAGGCAAAAATAAATTGTCTGTGCTGGTTTCTTACCTCCCCTCCTTGCTTCCATACAATGAAGCATCTTAGGAAGTTGTATTGAGATGATTTCTAGAAAAGATTTGTGTCTTCTAAATACTAATTAGATACTCCAATATTTTTATAGTTAAGTATATACCTAGAATTTCTTTGTTAACTTGACTTTATATCATTGTCTTTTAAACTTTGTCCACAGAAATAATCTCTACCCATACTTTCTGGATCTATTGCTGTTGTGTGTGAAAACACTTACTCTATGATATATTAATTAAAATGGAGTTTTATCAACTAATTCAATTGAATAATTTTAGAAAAACTTCTATACAAACCTAATCTTCAGAAAATATAAACCATCTTTACTGATGAAATTCTCAAAGTATTGACTCATTCTCAATTTTACTTTGTACTGACCAGAAGCTTAAACGTGAGTGAAGCACCATAGTATCTTTTCTGTAGCTTAAGTAATTGTCAGTGGGTGAAACAAGAATTAAAATGATACATATGATAGAGTGAAGAAAACACTAGCTTTATAGTTAGAAAAGATGTGTTCTAGTGCTTGTATAGCTAATGTATAAGGGAATTTGAAATAATTAAACAAGAAAAGCTTTTAGCTATACTTGTAGTGATATTCCTCCAACAGTTTCATCATACTCATGATCGGCTCATTGGAAGTCTATGTTACTGGCTTAGCTCTCAACCTGGAAGTTACTTGTGCAACAGAGGCAAGAATGTAAGATTGATCGGAGATTAACAACAGCTCTTTGTGGTTGAAATAAAAGAGGAAAAGTGAAGAAGAAAGGTAGGTAAGAAAGCTGGAAAGGAAGGGAGGAAGGAAGGAAGGAAAGAAGGAAAAAAAGAGAAAAGAAATAAAAGATGGCCTTTTAAAATGTATGCATTACTTGTAAAGGCACTCATATTTCAGAATTGTAAAAATGTGAAAAAATAAATACATGATTTAAGGTATTAAAAATTACTTCCCTGGCTATAGCACACACACACTCTTGCCCTGCAAGTATAAGCTCAGACAGTGGCTTCACTAATGGCATTGGACAGTCATTTAATTTATTTGAACTTACAGTTTCTTCACTTAAAGTCAGTTGGGAGTGTGGGGGATTGGAATTGGCCACCCCAAGATCTGTCTCTTTGGCATGAGGATTATTTTGGGCTAGTTACTTTTAAAAACTGCAGACGAGAGAAACTCTGGAAAGTAGAATTTACTTACCCTTTGTAAGAGACATTTACATTTGTAAAGGAAATCTCCATCTGTAAGAGCGTCTCCTTCTCTGTATCAGGAAGAAGGGAGGGATGACCTTATCTCTAGAAACTCTTATCATCGGGGAAGGCAAGGACTTCAATCAGCATAATAATCTTACTCTTGCTTACTGTGCTTGTCTGGGAATCTCCCACAACTGACTCCCCCAACCCCCAACAACCTCCTTTGTAGCTGAAGATGGTATTTAAGATGAGAACCTCTGCCATTTTGGCGAGTCACTCAGTTTTCCTGAGTCTCTATCATGTATACATGTTATAAAGCTTTGTTTAATTTTCTCCTGTTATTCTGTCTCATGTGAATTTAATTCATAGCCCAGCCAGAAGGACCTAGAGTGGGTAGAGGAAATGTCTTCCTCCCCTACATGGGTGAGGTGATAGACCACAATTTTATAACATGACTCGTAGCCTCAGACAAATGTTTTCATTCTTTATTCACAGGAGAGTAGATTTTCTTCCTTTTTGGAGCAAAATCTGGAACTCATAGAGGTAGAACACCAACAAATCTCAGGGACCACCAATCAAATATTTCATTTCTGTTAGCTAATGAGACTCCACATAGCTTTTGCTTGTTTTCTTTACCCCTCTTGTTTTGCTCCATCAGGTTTTCTGTTGCATTTTGAATGTGGTCACCACTAAGCTCAGGTTTGTTTTCAAGCTACCTAGCAATTTTCTCTCCCCTTCTCCAGTAGCTCTTCTCACAGACATTTTCTTCGAGTCTTTTTCATTCAGTCACCCAGGGCTTTGGTGACTCTCACTCCTACAGGGTAGGTTTAAACTTTGCTTCTTTTGTAATCTCAGGGATTTTTTTAGATACTGTTTTGGTAACATCAAGAGACTCACTTTTTTTCCCCTGAACTAGTTGACATCTGATGAAATAAAAAATTGCATTATTTCCCTCTCTTCTCATTATCACTATTGTTATTTTATTTTATTTAAAAACCACCCATTGTTCTTCTCTGCTCAAAGCTTGGCATTCTAAACTCTGAGTAATATTTCAAACAGGATGAAATGAGGTAGTGGACCATACTGTGCCAAAATGAAATGCTTGCCCCTTCTAATCAGTGCAGTTAAATAAGACAGACTTTGTTGAACATCTTATAAAGCATTCCTAAGTACACATTTTACATGTAGCTGAGTGAGTAAACAATTGGAGCACTGTAAGTTGCTTCCCAGTATAAAGCTGAATAACACATTGAAACAACTTCAAGAACCACAATTCTCTTTTAGAGAACCAATGTGTTTTTCTTCATTAGAAAAGCCTCTTGTTATATTACGTTTTGGGAAACAGAGAATCTTAATTCAGACATTTTTCATTTGATATCACTTGCCCCTTTCCTTTGATGATCATAATTGAGTTAATTGGCTACAATAACTGAAACAGACTTCTATTAGCCTTGCTAATCATGAAATACTCATTTTGAAAGACATCCTACATTTATAATGGCAATTTTTCCCCTCTATGGTAGTCGGAGGGTGAAGGAGAGGGGTGAAGAAGAATGACTACTTAAAAGAAAATGAAAATAAAAGCAGTCTTGGTAACCTAGCTTATTGGTTACCCAGTGGGCTAGTTTCTGGTGCAGGAGGAAAACAACACAGGAATGAGTAATAATTTATACGTGGGCTTTAAAGTCAGATGAATTCGTTCAATGTCCAGGCTGTCATCTATGAGATCTGTGATCTTCAGCAAGCTACTCAACTCTCTAAGCCTCAGATTCATCTTCTCTAAAGTGAGATTTACTAGTTCCTACTTCTCAAGATTGAGAACCTTAAGTATTATTTTAACACTTGCATAAGTCAGTGAACACTTAATAATAGTTATTCTTTGATATTGAGGCTGCTGCTATTGTAGTTGTATGGAACTTTAAATATATATAATCAAAAATGACAAGGACAGTTGGATTGCTTCAACCAAATCCAATTATCAGGCAGATGTTTCACTAAAAGAGTTAGCTAGAAGGAAATGCATTACTTCACATATTTATTTCTTTAATTAGCATCCTTTTTCTTAATTTTGATGACAAATTTTAAGGAACAAATGGTTTAGCCATACTTTTCTAGAAAAGATAGACGTATAAAGTGAAGCTTGAGCATTGGGAGAAAGAAGAACAATTCTTACATTGAAAGTTTATAAAAACTTTGATTTTGACAAAAATTTTACCTTCTTTTTCTAAAAAAAATTTCAGCTTGCTCACTTGAGAAAATAATCCCAGTTATTTTTTGGCTTATGTTGAAATGTCATGAGTAGAATAGAACAGCATAATTTTTCTCCCCTGGGGTTCAAAAGTTTATTCCTTCTGATACAACAATAAATCAACTGACAAAATGGAATTTCTTTGCAATACATATGCAACAAGTTAGGTTGCATGGATAAGTTGAGCTTCAGTTTAAATATAGAAATTCTGGAACATTTTATTATAAAGGAATAGTACTTGGAAGCTACTTAAAGAAGTAACTACATGAGTAAATATGAGAAGAAGATAATATGATTAACAGTAGTAGATCTTAAAAAGTGGTTTCTGCAGCTTTGGAAATATTTGCTCACCAAGACAAACAGCGATATATATTGGGTGAGTATAAAATAATACTGGTTTAATTAATTTTTCTAACACTGCTATTTCCTTAAAGTGGACAGGATGGTAGAAATTTCATAGGAATTAGCATAATTTTGTTTTATTTTCAATGCAAGTGGAGTTTTTGAATCTGAGAATCTATGCTCAGTGTCACTGCACCTTTATGTCATCACGTGTTTGGAAAACCCCAGAACCAGATCTGTCTCTTTGAGAGACAAAAGCCAACTTTGTAGTTATAGACAAGACACAAACGTTAAGCCAGCTCATATTTTCCTATAGCTTCTCTTTCTAGTTAAGTCTGCAAACTAATTTGGATTAAACTAAAACAGACTTTTGCTCCAAGCATTTTGGAAGTTTAAAGAGTTTGGCTAATTTTGGTTGTCTTTTCAAAATATTTCTTATATGGCTTCATGTCTGCGTCCTGGAAGGGGACCAATATGTGCTTAAATCTTGTAAAAAGTTGCTCTTTTCTTCTGCCCAGGCTTCTGAAAGGCAGCAAATACATGGAAGTTCTGAGGATTTCTGTCTGCTTTTATCAAATGAGATGCTAGACAAAGTTCATTGCCACTAGAATTCAAAGTCAATGGAGAAGAAATGTAGAATATGCATTCTAAATATACTGTCATTTTTCTGATATTCTACAACTTAGTAGGTACTTATGTCATTTTTTAAGGAAAATAAGAAAAAATAGAAAAGCATGCTTCAAGTTCTTTGTCATCTTTGTTTCTCTCTCTTTCATATTCACTATAACTTTATTTATTGCCAGTTTAACCTGAAAGCAGGTTATTTTAATTTCTAGTTTAGATTCTGTGCTATCATTGGTACGTGGTACTACATAAGAAATCGACTCCTCTAAAAAATCTTTGCCACTGATGCCACATACAAATACCGTATGGACTAGCTCTCAGAGCCAAAGCAGGAAAAATCGCCAAAGGGTAAAAATAGTTCTTGATATGATGATATGCTGCTAAAAGCCACATGGTGTTTGGGTGCAGCATTTCACAGTCAAACAATCATAATTTCATGCCTAAAATGTGCATGTTATTTCAGGAAAATACAAAATCTGAGCATTGCACATTTGCTACAGAATGACCAGTGAGTGTTGCTATAATGATTTGTTTTTCTTTTACAAATGAATATTTCTTGCTGAGCCTTTTCATGCCATATTGCCTGGGCGGCAATGGAAGTAAGGACAGGCTGAGGTGAGAGTAGGAGGGAGTATTGAGTATATCTGGTCTTTTATGCTAAATTCCTATAATTATACAAACTAGGTAGCATATAAAACAAGACTGTCTTCTTTTCTTTCTCCTCTGAAGTATTAGGTACTATAGTCTTCGTCTCAGAATAACTGAGCTTTGTGGGGCCTCTGCCTGATGATAAGGGGCAACTTTTCAGAAAGAAGGTCTATATTCTGACCCTAAAATTCCTAGAGTTCTCATGGTATCTTTAATAAATATTTACGGCAATAAAAGTCTCCCTCCCTTAAAGTTGTAATGGATTTGAGAGAGTTCACTTGGTCTGAGGCATGGCCACTGCAATGTAGATACAAGAACACAGTGACAGTTCCACTAAAATGCTCATCATATTTTATTTAAGCTATAAGTTGCTTTATACTCAGGCTGCAGAGGAGGATAGTGAGGTACAAGTAGGAATTGACAGGGGGCAAAAATTGGAAGCAAAAGGGAAAATTACAGTGTGTTATGTTTTGTTAACAAAAATTGTTTACTCAAAAAGAAAAAGGAAGCCCCAAAGTTATTAAACAAAAGTTGAAAGTTTTTGGTAGTTAACAAACTAGAGAAATATTTAAAGGCCTGGAGACAGAAGAACCAGTTGAAAGGTCATTGTACTCACAATGATAGGTAATTAATCCAAGGGTCAAACCAGGGTAAATGGAAAAGAGTCTGATTCTTTACTGAAATAATAATTGTCAGCTTTATAGAAGGCTCACTGTGTACCAGGCACTTTAAGAAAATTAACTTCCTTAATTCTTTACAAAAATATTTATAGATATTATTACTACACCCATTTTACAGATGATGGAATTGAGGAAGAGAGAAGTTAAGATATCATAGGCAAACTTCTAGAACACTGGCCAGTTGGTAAGATGGATAGCTCTGAGAACAGTTGGGAATGGAAGCTGAAGGTGCAGAGACATAAGCTGTCCATATGAAGTCAACACGGAACTAGAGCTAGTGAAAAAAATTACTAAGTGTTAGATTAATAAAAGAAGACTATGTAAAAAGGACATTATAATAAAAACTGTTTAGTATAATTGAGTGATGTTACTCTGTACACTTGTCATCTACCTCAATTCAGTATTTTCTAGCCTGGCAACACCATATTTTAGAGCTGGAGAGGGTCTGAAAGCTCATCTAGTCCAGTAGAATTCGAGCTTTTTCTGAAAGAAACTCACCTGAAGGACAACACTCACATGGAGGGCACATCCTGAGATGAAGACACTGAGGGCCGAGCAGATTAGCTCAAGGCTAATTCACAGTTAATGAATAGTAGAATGAGGGCTCTGATTCAGCTGTTCTGATTCCCAGCCCAAATGAATGAACAGACGTGTGGTGAGAGATAAAAGGAGAAGACAACGTCTCCAAGACCATGCTTCTAAAATAGATACTCTGCATATTTATTGACTATGTGTTATGTCTCAAGTGTTGTTATGATGCATAGAACAGCTGCAATTCCAATCTTCATTTTTCCCATAACTAGCAAAGAAGAGAAGCTAAGCAGTTGCAATACGGTTGTAAATAGGGTGTTCTCAGACCATGAAAAACAGGTGCCAAATCAGGACTCACAGATTTGGCGAAGGTTTCTCAGATGGTCTTTGAAAAATGACTGAGTTGGTCAAAGGAAGAACTGAAGGAAGATGAATCCAGCCAGACGTGAAGAAGAGAGAGTATTATAGAGGGGAACAACTAAAGGAAGTATTGTTTGACTTGAATGCAGAGTATAAAGGGAAGTGGCAAAGGTGAGGCTGAAAGGCTAGGCAGGGGCCAGGTTGTTGAAGGGCTTTCCACACAGTATTAAGGAGTTTGAACTGTATGTCAAAGATCCTGGAGAGTTTTTAATGAGATATTGATATTTATCAGATTTAAATTATAGTGAGATCACCCAGTCTGCAGTGAGAATAGACTCATGACAAAGAAACCAAGGAAGGAGTGTGTGGCAATAATCCAAGTGAGAAGGAAGGTGTCTTGTCTTTTTGGAAAGCCGATGTGGATGGAGAGGAATGAATAGATTTGAGATGTTTAAGAAGCAAAATGGTAAGTACTGTATTGGTTAAGTATGGATGATGAGAAGGTTAAATATGGACAATGAGAAAGCAAGAGGTGAAAATCAAAGGCAATGCTACATGTTTTAGACTGAACTGTGTCTCCCAAAGTCCATATGTTGAAGCCCTAACCCCCAGTGTGATTGCATTTGGAGATAGGGACTTTAGGAAGTAATTAAGGTTAAATGATGTCATAAGGATGGGGCACTAATCCGATAGAACTGGTGCCCTTATAAGAAGAAGAGGGGGTATAAGGGTTCTCTCTCTCTCCATGCATGTCCGGAAGAAAGGCCATGTGAGGACACAGAGAGAAGGCAGCTGTCTACAAGCCAGGAAAATAACTCTCATAGGAACTGAATTGGCTGGCATCTTGATCTGGGATTTCTAGTCTCTAGAACAGTAAGAAGATAAATTTATTTTGTTTAAGCCATACAGTCTATGGTACTTTGTTATGGCAGCCCAAACTGATTAATATACCAAGCTTCACAGTTTGTCCCTTATATCAACCCTGATACATAATGGTGACACTTACCAATTTTGAAAACATGGAAAGGTGAATTGTAGCTGGGATTCTCAGAGAAGGAGCCTCCCAAGAAAGAGTTCAAGATTTAAGAAAAAAAACCCTGAAAAGGTAGTGTTGCAGAAGTCCAGAGAAGAGAACTTCAGGAAAGGAGTGGTCAACAGCGTCAAATGCAGTGAAAACGACAAGAAAATTAAGGACTAAACAGAGTTCATTGGTTTTATCCATTGGGAGCTTGGATGAGAAAGATTTAAATGGTGAGGCATATCTGTTGATGAATTGCAGGAATTCATTGTCGAGAGAATGAATTGTTGTCAAGAGAATGCCCCACTCTAACATCCTGTTGCAGGAGTATAACTCAATATTGGCTCTAGGCACTGTCTTTCTGGATTTACCACCATTGGAGCAGAGGCCATATTTCCCACTGGCTGCTCACAGCCAATGACTAAGCACAATGGGAGTATAATATAAGTCCATTCCTGAGAGACCTGACATTCCTGAACTGGGCAACTTTGGTTCGAGGTGACCCCATGGCCAAGCTGAAACTCTCCTGGATCTATGTTACAGTCTGAGACTCTTCTTAACCAATCTTCCCTGCATGATCTCTCCTTCAAGGGCCCATATCAGCATAATAGTCTGAAAACTTACCCCATTTTCTTATACTCCCTTTCCTTTCTCCTTTATAGGCATTTTCCCCAAGAAATCTCATCTTGTTCATTTAATCTTGTCTGCTCCTCTGAAAATGCAAACTGATACTGAGGAATCAACATGAGGTAAAAACTGGAGACATTATGATGCAAATGACATTTTCCAGAAGTGTGGCTACAAGGAATAAATGACAATTAAATGGGCAGAACAGGTTCTTTGGATAATCAGAAACGGTAGAATCTAGAGGCCAGCAAGAAAGTAGCCTTAGAAAACAGACAACCCTTCTATTTTCACACAAAGAGGGAGATAATGGGGATAAAGATGCAGATGATTTTTCAGGTTTAGTGGAAGAATCTTGAGGCAAGCATCACTTTCTGGCTTCTTTGTATTCTATGAATTAGGAGATTTCTCCCTTGAGAGCAAAGGAGATGATTACGAGTTTGAGGAAGGAATTCTGAAATAGACACTGTGGTCCCTGCAATGCAGAGCATTAGAGAGAGAGCAAACTAAAGAAATATAGCAGGACTTCTGGGCAGATTCAAGGGCCAAGGTGAATTTAGTTGATTGCTTTTATCTTTTTAGATGAGCTCAGTAATTTTTCATAGCATGAGAGAAGGCTGAAAGTTTAATTTCAACTTCAATTTTCCTGTTTTCAGACAATGCTTCTGACTACGTGCATCCATGTTACTACCCTCTGCTGTTTGGGCAACTTGAACGAAAGTGTGTCTGAGAGTTTGAACTAAATTGGCAGTTGTTTCAAGATTGCTAAGTCTTTAAGGACCCTGAGAGAGAGTCTCTTTATCGTGCTAGAGAGACTCCTTGCTTTTAGTATGAATAATATTACCTGAGTTCAAGTTGTTGACTAATAAAGGCCAAAATGTTATGGAACCAAAGTGGTTTCACTTCCTGGTGAGTTAAAATCAGACTCTCCACCAGAAGTAGTTGTCACACAAAGCAGAGTTTATTTACAACAAATAGGAGTCCATGCAGAATCATTTCCAAAGTCATAGCTCTCCCCAAACACAAGACAGCAGGGACCTTTTATTTTGGAGGGAGAATGAATATTCAAAAGGGAGAGGTGGATGTTTGCTTGCACAGGCTTATTTGGGAAACAAGCTTCCACATACATTGCAGCTTCTGGTAATAAGGCCTAAACTCCTCCTAGAGTGGAGGTCTTAGCATTGAAAGTGAGGCAAAGGTCATCTGTTGGGCACTTTTAGGTCCATTGTGGTGGAGCTCCATCTGGTTCAAGGTGGTTGGTGATTGTGTATCTTAACATAACAGAAAAAACAATTTGGAGAAACAGTTAATTGCCTCTGACACCTCTCTTGAATTCCTTGGGGCAATTAGTCAGTGACAAAATTGCTAAAACAATAAAAAGACTATTCTTAATCTCTTCTCTCCTCTCCTTTACAAACCTTTCCTGAGGCATTTCATGTCTTCGTGATGCACCATTTAGTCTCCCTACTCAAAAAGAGTGGGAAACCCAAAGGGAACCCATAAGAGATGATATTTTATCTTATAGGGAGCCTGAAAATACATTGTCTTGCTTGCAATTATAATTTCATAACACATCACATTTGTAGTTTTGGACAAAGGAATAGAGAAGAGAAGCGAATGTTCAAAGTATCCTATAGCAAGGAAAAGCAATCGTTAACAAGAAACTGATGACAAGAATCAGAGATAATTATGAGTTTTCTTTCTTAGGACATAAATAAAGAGATAATATGATTAGCTGTGATATTGATGTTGTATATTGCTATACTGCATAGAGAGAAAGTGAATATCAGTTTCTTCATTGTATTTGTTAAATCCCATTGGTAAAATTGTTGATAGATTGGGTGTAAAGAGAGAATTTGAGTACAAATATATTTCTTACTGTTAATTATATGCATCATTTCCTGAAAATTCCAACATCTAAAGTCACAATAAAATATGAAAAACAAAGCCTTGACCTGATCTTACAATGAAAAAGAGAGCAGATGAGGTGCTCCAAAATGAAATAACATAGAAAATGATAGCAATTGGGAGATAAATCAATCCTAAACATGTTTATTACATTTCTGGAGGCATTAGGTACAAAGTATCCTGTATTAACGGAATTTTAATAACCACAAGTAATTTTTCTAAATTCATTTTTATCCTGCCTTCCTTCGTATGACAGACATTTTTTTGGTTGCTACTGTTAAAGAGAAAAACTACAGGTCCAAAATGGTGTCACTTGTGATAAAGCCCATGATATCAAACCTAGATTTAATGTCTAACTTAATTGCAGTTTCGACCTTTCCCAGGAAGGTAATCTTAATCAACCAGTCTGGAATTTTTTGATCAGTACCTAGGAAGTAATCAGTCACATGGGTCCTGTCCATCCTCCAAAAGGAAGAAGAGGCAAGTTGCATGATCAAACACTTGCAGGTCCCTTACCCTCAAAGAGAAGATGTCCTAGCCCAAAACAATCCTTTCTCTTCTTTTACTAATAATTTCCTTGCCCTACCTTCCTTCCTATAAAAACCATCCATTTTGTATAACTCCTCAGTCTCTCTGCTTGCTAGATGAGATGCTGTCCGAGTCATGAATCGCCTATAAAGCCAATTAGATCTTCGAATTTACTCGGTTGAATTTTATTTTTTAATACTACTGCATTCATGAAAGTCTTCTATAGACTGTAAGGGATTTAAAATAACACAAAGTTACACTTTCTTCTTTCGGGAAAATGCATATTTGTGAGAATTTAAGAACCATTATTGTGTATTATATGAGATCCTCCTTAAAATGCTAGAAAAAAATATATTATTATTCTTTTCACGAACAAAATATCTTCTTCATCCTGCCTTTCTTTGAAGATGAAGATTCTTTTACTATTTTCAACTTTTAACAGAAGAGGTACACACCTTTTTTTAATTTTTAATTTTAGCAAATTCTTGTCTAGTCACTGTACAAATATGGGAACCTGAAATTAGTCACAATTTCCCAGATTTGATTGAATTGTGTGTGTGTGTGTGTTTATAATATCAAGAAAATAAAAAGCTATGAGAGACATTTTAAAAAGAAATTTTCAACATAAAAAAGAAGTTTATCCTAATTATACAAATTATCAATATCTACAACACTTCACAAGTTACTGCTTGGAGATATTCATGTGTTAAAGGTTCCATAAGATTATCACGATTTTCTGAGTAATTTGAAAAAAAATTAAAGAAACACTTGATGTTTATTACAGTTTCTATGGGAAGCATATTTTACTTCTTTCTTTTTTTTTTTTTCCTGAGGAAGTTTAGCCCTGAGGTAACATCCGCACCCTTCTTCCCCTATTTTATATGTGGGATGCCTGCCACAGCATGGCTTGATAAGCAGTGTGTAGGTCCATGCCCGGGATCTGAACCGGTGAACCCCGGGCCGCCGAAGTGAAGCACACGAACTTAACTACTACGCCACCAGGCTGGGCCCCTATTTTACTACCTTCTTAATCAATAATCCATGTATTGGATTTAGGTTAACTTTTAACTAACTAGGGCATCATTTTCAAATTGTTTTGTTTAAATAGTTTATCCAGTAATTTTTAATCAATTTTTTATTTTTAAAAAAGAGAAAAATGTATTTAATATTATGCCACAATTTTTCAACTATATTTCTATATAGCAAATTGGTATCTAAAGTAAAAAGCTCAGTATTTTGCAAATAGACTTTTATAATAATAAGGAAGATATTTTACCTTAAATTCTCAAAAACAGTTATCTTGTAACTACCAACTTTTAAATTTTATGTTTAAAACCTACAGATTGATGGTGGTTTTGAATAGCAAGGAGAAAACTGAGAAGCTCATAAGCTAGCTTTTATATTCATCTCCTAAATTTATGTAACTTATTTAACTTTTATAGGCTTCATTTTGATTCCTGGGATCCTTGACACATCTAACGTTGTTTGTTATGAGTAGATGCAACATTTTTATATCTTCCTTTAATACACAAACTAATTCAGTTTACGGTCAAATTCCACACAATTATGAATAAATAGCACACAGGCAGTGTCTCAAACACATCACTATGTAGTTACAATGGAGGTCTCACCGTTGCATGCCTACGTGCTAAGGGAGTTTTTATATCCTTATTCTCTTTATAATGATTTTGCCATTAAGACAAAAACACAAAAGGGTTGACCCTGAGTAATGTGGTAATGTTTTCTGCAGTGATTTCTTGATACGTCTGTTTCTCCTTTGGACTCTAGCGCCCTGTGATTTTTATTTCCTTGCTAAAACAAATTTATTGGGACTTTGTTTTTTTTAAAACTCAGTCAAGCTTCATGAGGAAATAGCCTAAGAAATCATTCTCAATATTCAGATCCATACTATTTTTAAATCAGACTTGCGAGTGACAGGCAAGCCACTAGCAGGGACAGCCTCAGCAGAGGAGGAAGTGCCCCGGGCCCTCGCAGCTGAATGCCCCAGGCAATCTGTAAAGACAGAACTGCTCTCCGAACTGGGAATGCACCTCACTGGACAGATTGGCTCGTTGGGTTTTTTTTTTTTTTGGTCTTTTTCTGTTTTTGAATCAAGATGGAGAAATCACTTTGCCATGACATTATAAAAAAAGAAGTCAGGCAGGACTTAACTCCTGAGGTGTATATTCTCTTCTCAGTATGTGCCTGTAACTCCCACTGACAGTGATGGCAGTTATGCAGATGCATGCAGAAGAAAATAGACTCTTTTTAACATTAAGCATCAGATTTGGGTCTCCCCAGAGAGCGTTGGTTACTGGAGTGGCTGTGACTGATGCATTCTCGCGGGATGTTTCAGCTATAAATCAATCCTGAATCATACTTTTCCTAGAGTTCTTTGCTCTTCTTCTGAATCCTAGTGTGTCACGCATGCACTGACGCTATTTCAGGCTGAGCCTAAATACATTTACCAAAATAAGATTCAAATAATTAAATGTGACTTTTATAATTGTTTTCCTCTGAAGATCCAGAGTCTAATCTGGCTCTGGTTAATCGTTTTAATTTGACTTATAATACTGTGTCAGTTTATTTAGTTGGAATTAGTTTTCTATTTCTCTCCTTTTTGTAAGCGCTGCCTGTTTACTTAACAATATTTGGCTTTGCCTAATGATATGTACAGAAGACAGTGCTA